GTGGGGGGAAAGGGTATGGGGAGTGGGTGGGGTGAAGGGCGTGGGGAGTGAGTGGGGGCAAGAGTATAAGGAGCGGGTGGGGCGAGGGGTGCGAGGGGCAGCATATGTGTGTGCCTGCACGCACGTGTGTGTGGGTGTGTGTGTATGTGTGCGCGCGGAGGTAGATGCCTCTTCACGGGTAGAGCCTGGGAGGGCCGGGTGGATGTGGTCGTGAGCTGACTGTCGGCCGCCCCAGGGGCGTGCTGCTCGCCTGGATGGCCGCCCTCGCAGTGTGCGCGTTGCTTGCGCACCGTGCAGATCTCTCCAGAATCACGGTGTGCATGCACACGCAACACACATACACACATGCACACACACTCATGCACATACACACACACACACTCTCTCTCTCTCTATCTCTGTCTCTCTCTCTCTTTGGCTGTCACACACACACACACATACACACACACGCACACACACACACACCACTCTTAAACCCACAGTCTTAGCCATCCGCGCCCCGCCCTCCTCCTCCAGGACTCGTTCTCAGAGATCGCGGCGGCGCTGCCCGATGCTGCGGCGCGGCGCGCGGTGTTTGTGCCCGGGGACCGTGTTGTGGTGATCAGCGGTGATCTGGTCAACCTGGAGGGGGTGGTCACAAAGGTGGGGGGCTGGCAGGGGCGCCTTTGGAGGGACGCATGGGGGTGAGGTGTGGCAATATGGGGGGCGGATTATGCATGTGGTTCTCTGCGGGTGAGGGTGAATGGGAGGGGTGTGTGTCCGAGCATGTGCGAGGGGTGCGCTGCTGCTGCTGTGGGCAGGCGCGGCAGGTAGCCAGAGCTGGGGGGGTGCAGGGCACGGCTCGGGCCACCCGTGCGCCGCGTCGCGCACACACGCCTTGCACGGAGCGCAGGCGGGGCGGCGCCGCCCTGTGCTCGCCTCATATCATTAGTGTTCTCGCCGCACGCCCTGTCGCCGCCGCGTGTCCTCCCCCGCACCCCCCCCCCCCCCAAAGGTTGACGAGGGTGAGGGCGGGCTGGTCCACGTGCGGAGTGTGGGCGGGGACGGCGTCGACGAGGTGGAGCTGCCGCTGGCGCCATCAGAGATCATGAAGGCCTTCAGGGTGGGCGGGGTGTGATCTGGCTGGATCTGGTGATCTGGTCTGATGAGATCTTGTACGGTGATCTGAACTGATTGAGTCTGGCTTGAGCACCTCACGGGGTAACCTTTGGGTCAAGGCCTGCGGGTCTTGCCTGTGGGGCTGTGCTGCTGGTGGGGGCGGCGCGAGCCTGGACGCGTCGCTGGTGCGACCCTGTCTTGTGTCCTGATCCTGCAATCACCACATCCACCCACGTCCCCATACATTTCACCTTGTCAACATCAACAACACCACCGCAACAATAACCAATCCCAACAACAAGCACAACGCCAACCTCAACCTCAACACCTGACCACAACACCCAACCACAACACCAACTACAACGCCGCTCTCTGAAACGCCACCCCTCCCCCTGGCCAGGTGGGCGACCGCGTGCGCGTGCTCAGCGGCCCCCACAAGGGCGAGGCCGGCATCGTGGTCAAGGTGGAGCGCGGGGTGTGCGCCGTGGTGGGGGACACCACCAAGGCCCAGTTCAGGGTCAACGCGCGCGACCTCACAGAGGGAGTCGACACGGCGCCCGGGAACGAGGTGCGCTGCCGATGCCCAAGGGGGGGGGCTGTTGGGGGGAGGGAGTGATGGCGTGTGGTAGGGAGGCAGGCGTGGGGCGGCAGGAGGAGGCTGGGGGATGTGTGTTCGCGGTTGGGGGGCTGGGGGTGTCGTGGCGG